CGGTTAGCCAGAAAGTTTTCCTTTTCAAGTAAGACGAGTTTCCCAACGATAATCTTTCCTGGAATGTTTTGTAAACGTGACGGCCTTTGTGAAATCAAATATCTTTTATATAGAATCTTGGTGTCGAAATCTTTTGTACTTAAGATGACTCGTGAATTCAATGTAAGCACTTTCAAGTCTAAAAAGTCTTTTCGCTGGATTTTTGTTAACAAATGATTACGATCAACGGAGTTCTATTCTCGTTCAAAGCGGTTAATCGAACAAACTTGTCCATACGTACTTAGTTTCAAGCTACGATAAAAAGGTCGGGCCATTTTCGAATTTCGCCCCCGAACGTCTGTTTGAAAATCGTGATGTTTGGAAAAATAAAGAAAAGCAAGAAAAGAGAAGCGTAAACTAAAAAGATAGATTTTATTATCATAAACCCCGGGGAAAGACTTGCAAACACAATAAAAATGCGAAAAGCTAGGACGTGTCGACTTGACGATCCCCGTCCGACACAACAAAGTTTCAACTGAAATAAACAAGGTGGCCAAACAGTCTAAAAGCAACAAAAGAAGAAAAACAATCCTACTGGGCGGATCCACCAGCTCCTTTTCCAGAACCTTCGGGCTCACCAACACCTTCACCAAGATCCTCCGACACCTTCGCCGGGTCCTCCCCGACTTCCTCTGAATCATCGTCGTCGGCATCTCTTGAAGTATCTCTGACTTGCTCGCTAAGCTTAGCGTAGATCGCCGCGTCAAGGGCGTCGGAGTCAACTGTGATCTTCACTGTCCCCGGGTCGGCTGATTCAGTCACCGTGACAAGCTCGGTCTCAACCCGGGGCGCATCAACATCCATCTCGGCCGCAGCAGCAGTCATCCTATCGGCATACTCAACAACCTCTTTCTTGATCTCGGCCAGAGTTAGGACCCTGAAATGCTCAACGGTGATGCCGGCGAGAGTGTCAATGAACTTGAGGCCGAGCTCTTTCCTCTTCTCTTTCTCCCCTTCAAGGACCATATCCATAAAGGCCCTCTGGAGCTCGGCACGCCTCTCGCGGCTCAAGGGGGGAAGAGCCGAAGCTGT